AATGAATGAGCTATTTCCCCAACGTTGGTTACAGAAAACGGGTCGTTTACTGTAATTTTACCAATATTGGGTGCTTAAGAATGGTTGATATTTATTGACAAATTATGATGATACCACAATCAACTAAGCAGAGTTGTTTGTTAGCAGAATAAAAATATATATGAATAATGTCTACATAAATATATGAATAAATCTTTGACGAAATCGGATAAGTGAATGAATGGATAAATGGACGAATTAAAATAAATGAATGGATGATAAATAAAAGAATGATTGAATGAATGAATGAATACACAAATCAATTAATGAATAATTGACTGAATGAAGAGATGGATGAATTAATGATCATTATTATAATTTTCCGTGTATTTAATACGACCATTTTTCGAGTGCAATTACAGTTGTGTATTACAGCCGGATATATAATTTTAGCCGCTTTTAATTGTAAAATTATCCGGCTGTAATACACAACTAGTAGTGTAATAACCTCTTTTAAATAGYTCTAGATGGATAAGCTTAATAAATAATTGGATGAATAATGCTGATTCTTTTTACTTGCCTGAAGCCGGTTCAGTCGTGCACCATATTAGTCCTTCTAGAGATCTTTCACATAATTCCAACTACTATAGCCACTATAGTAGAAACAGCGACTAAATATGCAAATAAGTCTCTGCACGCACGGGCGTGTGCTTGCGCCGTCTTTTCAGTCATGCATTCCTTGCAAATGACTGGAATTATAATTACTCATTTTATCGGGAATTTTATCTGTATTCCAGTTTCTTTATAAACGACGTATTCAGGAAGCTTTTTGTTAGTCGTCTTCGCGGGTGATATAATTAGATTATTTWAAAATGTAAGACGATTTGCCCTTGTACAATGCAATGAAATGCCATACAGTTTATTTCAGATGCAAGTTTATTTGATTTTCTTTTATTTATTAGTGTTATGATTTCAGGATACTATAGCCACATTTTTGCAATATATACGAATTTATATTTCTCATGTATGAGATATCCGACTTATTTTTTTAAAATTAAAGATCATCAAAAAGTACAACATGCCTTTGAGCTAGGAATGTGCACAGTTCGACAACAACGGGCTGAAACCATTTCGGATGGCGCCATACGCTTCCTATAGAACGATATGTTTTTACATGTTTGAATGTGTGCTCAACAATAATACGACATCTAGAAAGTCGATCGTTGAATCTTCGTGCTAATCGTTGTTGGTTCCTTGGAAGTCGTCTTATCAGAGCTGCACGAAAAGGTGTTAGCAATGGAGGAACGTTCCCATATCCCTTGTCTGCCAAAAGCACAGCATTGCGGGGCATATCATAATTCGTTCCTGGTCCAATTCTCTCCATTAAGTTATAATTGCYAGCATCATTAATTGAACCAAGGAAACCAGCCTGTAGAAAAACAATGTTACCAAGATTATCCACGATAAGCTGGGTGTTCATTAGATGGTAATGACGGTGACCACTAAAAAAGTCTTGCTGGGGTTCGGCTTCAGGTCTGTAAATTTCATGTGGCGTACCATCAATGCACCCAACTGCATCAGGAAAAAAACGCCAGTTTCCCCGCAAAGCGTTCCGTTCTGCCAAACTTGGCCATGATACTTGATTGTGGAAATATCGCCATAAAATTGGGATGACACTATGGATTATACTTGTAATTGTAGATGGACTCACATCAAACCATAAAGCAAGAGTGTCTGCACAAGGATATTTTCTAAGCCAAAGAAAGGTCAGTAAAACTTTGTTTAGGTTGTTAAGTTTGGAATTCTTTTTCCTTTGTCTTTGCCCTCCCCTCCTGTTTACGCGTGACATATTTGCAGAGACCTTGGTGAATATGTCGAACATAGTTTCAGGAAGCTCTCCGGTATTTAACCAAAATAGGTACCTTTGGTTTTTAATATCATCAAAAACATTTTTTCCTTGAAACTGGAAGCCACAGAATCCTGTATCAAGACGTTGCATAATGCGGCCGATCGATGGAGGAGCATTTGGAAGGGATGATAGCAGCATTATAATGGGAACCAACATCCGTATGAAGTTCTGCAGTTGGTTGGAGTTGTTAGCAGTTATTGGAGGAAGTTGCACCAACAAAGTTAGGAAAGCTCCAATTGTAGCAACGAACTGATGAACGGGAATCGGCATATTGAAATATCGAGCAGTAATATTCATATTTCCATGGTCTTTTTATATATGACAGGTTTAATTAATGCATAGTGTTAATTTGTCCCCAAAGGAAACGCAAAAAAAAAAACAAAAAAACACTACACATTAAAAATGTGCATAATTAAACAATGACTGATGAACAAAAGATTAAAGATATCTTACTAAAAGCATGCAATTAACTTT